ATCAAAACACGGCTGTGCTGCAGGAAGAGTTGGAAGCAGTCTCCTACAAGCAAGAAATGTCTTTTATGTCTCTGATTCTATCTTTAAAATTCATGAAGATTTTGCTCTCTCCCTGTCTCTTTCTTTCTCTCTCACACACACACTGAAATAAAGAGAAATGTTCCAGTGACTCACCAGTTAGAATTACTTCCTGGTGGAGACATCTCCCAGATGTGCCACATTGAATGCATTGATGAGGCAGGCACTTGCATGAACTGTTGCATTTGTACCCACCCTTCTGTGAGTTGGGTGTTGCCATCTCTCTTTCCAACATGAGGAAACTGAGGCTTGGGGTAGGCCAGTGCCATGACAGACCTGGTTCTCGTCTCATTTCTTCTGTGGTCTGTGGTCTTGGGAAAGGCCTTTCTGAAATATGTCAAGATTAGGGGTTCAGATTAAGGTTCTTCTAATCTCCAAAGTTCTGTGATTCTTGGGAAGAGCAAACTAATGAAAAGCTTTAGAGTCGGGCACGGCTTGATACCAGGGCCTGATGCAGTTGCAGCAGTTGTGGAAGTGGGTATCTTTGAGCTGGAGATGTCCTGGTTCCCTGATGCCAGAGCGTGTGGGTGACCTACTCTGTGAGTATCTGTTCCCATTCCTGTCATTCTCCTTCCCTTTCTCAGATCTTTGCCAGCATTGCTCCTTCCATCTATGGTCATGAAGACATCAAGAGAGGCCTGGCTCTGGCCCTGTTTGGAGGGGAGCCCAAAAACCCAGGTGAGCACCCGCCTTTCCTCTGCAGAGGTGTTAGCAGCTTTCTCTTTGAGGTGCCAGCATTCGAAGAATGAATGACACAGTGTTTTTAAAGCCTGGGTGCTGGGGAGAAAGAAGGCATTAAAAGATGGTCTGGGTGGGTGTGACTTGTTCTTCAAGGGAGAGGGTGGCCCTGAGTTGGGCATTCTGGGTGTCGGGCTGTTGGTCAGGGAGCCAGTGTCTGCCTGCTTTTGTGATTTAAGCAAATGAGTCTTTGCTTCTCTTCTATTTAAAAAATACTTTGTCTTTTAAAAAACTGTTTTAAGTACAAAAATACTATTGACACATGGGTATGTATATTTATATTACACTTTTATAGAACACTAAAAGTCACAGGTGAGGCTGATCTCCCCATTGACCTCCCCTTCTCATCCTAGTCCCCTCCCTTTGTGGCCATTTACAATTACACAGCAAACACAGGGTTTCATGACTACACGCATTTATGTGTACAACCACAGCATCCCCTGTGTGTGCCCAGTGCTGTGCCTGTGCGAAGCGCACCCCGCCAAGCTCTCCCGCTCAGTGCCACACTGCGGCATCTTTTCTTGTTAGTGCATACAGAGCAAGTGCATTCTTTTAAATGACTGTATCGTGTCACCGGATAATGCAGTTTATTTAGCTCTCCCTTTGGAGAACACCTAGATTGTTTCTGGTATTTCACATTCGCCAAGGACATCTCATGCATCCCTCCTCTGCACCCATGTGTGTGTCCCTGGGAGTGCCCAGAGTGGGACTGCATGGCGTAGGGTATTGTATCCCTTTCGAGAGAGACTGTGCCTTACCATTCATAACAAGTAGGCTGAGGAATTGGTGGAGGATGCAACTGTGCCCTCCTCCTCTCACTTCCCACTCTCCTCCTCCCCCGCTTCCACTCGTCCCCTCCAGGTGGCAAACACAAGGTACGTGGCGATATCAACGTGCTCTTGTGTGGAGACCCTGGCACAGCAAAGTCGCAGTTTCTCAAGTATATTGAGAAAGTGTCCAGCCGAGCCATCTTCACCACCGGCCAGGGGGCGTCAGCTGTGGGCCTCACGGCGTATGTCCAGCGGCACCCTGTCAGCAGGGAGTGGACCTTGGAGGCTGGGGCCCTGGTTCTGGCTGACCGAGGAGTGTGTCTCATTGATGAATTTGACAAGGTGGGTCCCTGGGTCATGGAGGCTGATGGGACTCGGGGTGTGTATGTGGGATTGGGCCTTAGCGAGGGGAATGGTGTTAATGGGATGCATTGGGACCTCATTGGAGACTTAGTGGTAGGAGCACGAACCATGCTAAGGGCCGGCCATTTTAATCTTGCAGATGAACGACCAGGACAGAACCAGCATCCATGAGGCCATGGAGCAACAGAGCATCTCCATCTCGAAGGCTGGCATCGTCACCTCCCTGCAGGCTCGCTGCACCGTCATTGCTGCCGCCAACCCCATAGGTGCAGCAGGCACCCTGACTGCTGGGGCTGGGGTGGGACACAGGGAGGTCCCACCTGCTTGAATCGGGAGCCCACTGGGTCCCCAGGAGCTGATCTGAGGAAGTCACTGGACAGCAGAGGGTTCCCGTCTTCTGCATATCCTGCCAGAGTGGGGAACAGTGAAAGTGGGACCTGGGACACCTGGGTTTCCTGTCGAGTCATGTTCCTGGATCCACCTTGGATGTTCTCAGAAGGCATGGGAGGAGAGCCCAGTGCCCCACTGGCCGGGATGGAGTTGGCTGTTGGTCTCAGCAGCGAATGCTTGAAGAACCCAGGCTCTGTCACCCACTGTGTTCTTGGTTTTTCCTTCCGGGGAAGCAGTTGTGCTTTCTGTCTAAACTAGGCTGTTTTGGGCATTGCTTGGGGTAAGCTCTTTGCTGTCTCAGACAGCAGGTGCTAAGTACCCACCCATGTCTTCCTCTTCCACTGTCCTTACCCCCTTCTGCCATCAGAGCGGCCTGGGGTCGCTGAGACGGGAGGATAGGGGAATCCACCCTGATAGAGATGCTCCCCTGTGTTTTAGGAGGGCGCTACGACCCCTCGCTGACCTTCTCCGAGAACGTGGACCTCACAGAGCCCATCATCTCACGCTTCGACATCCTGTGTGTGGTGAGGGACACCGTGGACCCAGTCCAGGTACAGCTCGCATGTGCCCGGTTTCCATGCACTGTGGTTTGGGGACCTCAGGTGAGGCTTGGTGTCATACGGTGTGCCCAGCGCAGGGGACGGGCGCTGCAGGGGCCGTAACCTGTTTTCCAGGCCTGTTCCCTCAGTCTCTTCTCATGTCCAGAAGTCACCCTGATTTCTCTTTCCTTCACAGCACTCCCAACCCCCACCCGGAATAACCCACAATCCACCAAATCCTGTTGTCCCAACTTCTGAACCTGCCCACCTCCCTCGCTTCTGCCTCTGACCTGAGGCACTACCATCATCTGAATTGGCCTCCTGGCACCCACGTAGACTGTCTTCCAGCTGAAGGCATAAATCAGATCAGCCCCATCCTTAACAACTGCTCGAGGCTTTCTGCTGTCACCAGAATAGAATCCATGGTCCTCCCCTCCAGCCCGCACCCACCCTCTCTGCAGCTACCTCCTCCTCGCTCCCTTCTCTCACCTGCGCCTGCCCTTCTGTCTCTCAAAAGGGCCAAGCCTTGGGGGCTCTCTTATGCTCCTTGCTCCTGGCACATGTGCTCCCACACTGTCACGTGACTTGCATCTCAGCATTGTCATCTCAGTTCTCTGTCCATCAGGGATGAGCTTTGCAGGGCACCTTTAGCTAGAGGCATCTCCTTGGTCCCTTGATCCCATCACTCTATTTTTCTTCTGAGCATACTTTCCATAATCAATTTTTAAGACTATTTGTTTCCCCTTGTGGAGGTGGGCCCTGTGGGGACTCTGTCCCATTGTCTGGTTTGCCCCCCACACCCAGAACTGCCCTGCACATGGTCAGTGTAGTCAGTCTTGTTGAAAGAGCGTCACCCTTGTAGGGCACACATGCAGCTCTTCTCCAGCCACTGACCTCCCCAAGGTCGCGCACACCCACAGTCAGACCCACCCTCTCATGGCTTGTCTTAGGATGAGATGCTGGCCCGCTTCGTGGTGGGCAGCCACGTCAGACACCACCCCAGCAACAAGGAGGATGAGGAGCTGGCCAACGGCAGCGCCACCGAGCCCGCCATGCCCAATACATATGGTGTGGAGCCCTTGCCCCAGGAGGTCCTAAAGAAGTACATCATCTATGCCAAGGAGAGGGTCCACCCAAAGCTCAACCAGATGGACCAGGACAAGGTGGCCAAGATGTACAGTGACCTGAGGAAAGAATCTATGGTGAGAGCCCAGGAAGAGCTGGGAGGTGCGGTGCAGAGAAGGAAGTGCAGTGTGAGCCTTCTGACTGATGCAGCAGGGGCGGCAGCCGGTCAGTCCAAAAGGTGCCAGAGCAGGGAGGCATTAAAAAAAAAATGAAGGTGCCAGGCATGGTGGTTCACGCCTGTAAATCCCAGCACTTTGGGAGGCCGAGGTGGGAGGATCATGTCAGGAGTTCGAGACCAGCCTGACCAACATGGTGAAACCCAAAGAGGCAGGAGAATCACTTGAACCTGGGAGGCAGAGGTGAGCTGAGATCGCACCTCCGCACTCCAGCCTGGGTGACAGAGTGAGACCCCATCTCAAAAACAAAAAACGAAGGTTGGGTACAGTGATTCATGCCTCTAATCCCAGCACTTTGGGAGGCCAAGGCAGGAAGATTGCTTGAGGTGAGTTCAAGACCAGGCTTGGCAACATAGTGAGGCCCTTCTACAAAAAATGTTTTAAAACTTAGCTGGGCCTGGTGGTTTGTGCCTGTAGTCCCAGCTACTCAGGAGGCTAAGGAAGAAGGATCTACTTGAGCCCAGGAGTTTAAGCTACAGTGAGCTATGATGGCACCACTGCACTCTAGCCTTGGTGACAGAGTGAGACCCTGTTTCAAATAAAAATAAAAACAAAAAATGATAGGTATTAATATATACCTTAACCATTTTGTTTTAGATGAAATTTAAATGTGCATTCATTTGTCTCGGTATAGGGCTGGGGCCTTAATTGTTGACGTGCTTATTAAGTTCCATATTGACTTTGTGTAAATGTCAAGCAAATGAACAAAAGTTCTTTGGCTCATTCATAGTGGAACGGAAACTTAAAGGCAGCTTGCAAGCCATGGGAATGCCGAGTTCTTGTAGATTGCTGCCTCAGCCACACCCAATCAACACAGCAGCTTTTTAAATTTCTGCCTTTTAACTTTACCAAGTTTTTTCAGATCATTCAATTTAGTTTTCCTACAAACAACTACTTTTTTTTGCACTTACATTGCACAGGATTATTCGATATTTAGTGTGTGACAATAACCAATACAGCTTTCCACAAATATAACAGCCTCTGAGATGTATAGAAGTCAGCTGGCGGGAGCAGAACTGTGCAGGTGTGATGGTGACAGGCGGTAAGCATGCAGCGTCCACCGGCATCCTCCAGTTTCGAGGAGGGATAGGAAGTGTGCATTCACTGGGCAGCGCAGTCAAGCATTCTGCATTTCTGCTGTGGCACTGTCAGATGGGTCTTCTTGGCTCTGGGTGCTAAGAGCGCCGATGTTTTATTTTCCTTGCCCCTCTTTCCTGCCCGTAAAAGACCTGACGTGCTTCTCTCCAGGCCACAGGCAGCATCCCCATTACGGTGCGGCACATCGAGTCCATGATCCGCATGGCGGAGGCCCACGCGCGCATCCATCTCCGGGACTATGTGATCGAAGACGATGTCAACATGGCCATCCGCGTGATGCTGGAGAGCTTCATAGACACTCAGAAGTTCAGCGTCATGCGCAGCATGCGTAAGGTAGGTGTGTTCCGAGGTAGGGGCCTGACGGGCAAGAGAAGGAGGCCGGCCACACGTGGGTATCCGAGGCTCTGGCCTGGACGTGCACCCAGCAGCGGCAGCCTGTCTGACCTGGGTGCTAGCACATCAGGTAAAGGGAGTGTGGCAGGCATAGTGGGAGTGGGTGTTTGACTGAGGCTTTTTTCCTGCAGACTTTTGCCCGCTACCTTTCATTCCGGCGTGACAACAATGAGCTGTTGCTCTTCATACTGAAGCAGTTAGTGGCAGAGCAGGTGACATATCAGCGCAACCGCTTTGGGGCCCAGCAGGACACTATTGAGGTTCCTGAGAAGGACTTGGTGGATAAGGTATGGGCCCAGAAGGGAAGTGAGGGTCGGGGTTTGCTGCCTTGGGAGCTGCCAGTCCCCTGAAGGGGCTCCGTCATACTGGGTCGTGAAGTGGGTGGGCCGTTTATTGAATGCTTACAGTCTGTTGAGTCCAGTTCTGTGCCTGTAGTCTGACAGCAGGGGAGTGAGGTGAGTCTTGTTACTGCCTTCCTGTTGTACAGAGGTGGAGACAGATACAGGGCAGCCAAATAACTTGTCTCAGTTTACACGCGCAGCTTGCACAGCAGAGATTTGAAGCCCCTTAATCGGCCTCTCCACTCCTGGATATTTTCCTCCCGTAAATAGAGGTGATGGTGTCTGAAAGTGCATTGTATATGGGTGCTCTGGAAACAGCCTGTTCTCACAACACTGATGGTTCATTGGACACTTCCTCCTTGCAGGCTCGTCAGATCAACATCCACAACCTCTCTGCATTTTATGACAGTGAGCTCTTCAGGATGAACAAGTTTAGCCACGACCTGAAAAGGAAGATGATCCTGCAGCAGTTCTGAGGTCCTGCGCCATCCACAAAGATTTGGTTTGAGGCAGTCAGACTGAGTGATCAGTGCCCTCTGTGCTTTATGGGCACAAAACCAGAGCACTCGATGAACTTGGGGTGCTAGGGTCAGGGCTTGTAGCAGGATGTCTGGCTGCACCTGGCATGACTGTTCGTTTCTCCAAGCCTGCTTTGTGCTTCTCACCTTCTGGGTGGGATTCCTTGCCAGTGTTTCTTACTTGGTTGCTGAACATCTTGCCACCTCCGAGTGCTTTGTCTCCACTCAGTACCTTGGATCGTAGGTGTGAGTTCAGGATGCCTGCGCATGGTTTAGGTGTTAGCCTCCTTACGTGGATGTCAGGAGAGCTGCTGCCCTCTTGGTGTGAGTTTCGTATTCAGGCTGCTTCTGCAACCTTTGGCCAGAGAGCTGGTTGAAGATGTTTGTAATCTTTTCAGTCTCCTGCAGGTTTCTGTGTCCCTCTGGTGGAAGAGGGCACAACAGTGCCAGCGCAGCAGCCTGGGCTCCTAAGTCGCAGGGATGGGATGTGAGTCATGTGGATTATCCACTCATTACCAGCTGCCATTGCTGCCTGTTTCCCCACTCTCTTATTCGTGCATTAAGTTTGGTTTCTGTAGTTTTAATTTTTAATAAAGTTGAATAAAATATAAACGCTGGTATTTGTTGGCTTCCATTCTGCTTTAATAAGTAACCTGGACTTCCTCTGAAGGCCCTTTCCACCTTCTCCCTTTAGAGTTCTGTAGGAGATAGGTTGGGTTAAAAAAGCTGTTTTGTTTGTGGATGTAGAGAAAGCAAAAATGATATGGATGTCCCCATGGAACTTGGTTTGCTGTTACTGCCTCTGTGATATCTAAGTGGAATTCATGGAAATCTTAGTTAGACATATGTATAGAAGGACTAGAGGTGGTGTAGCCCACCTCCTAATGGGGCAGTACCATCCACCACCTCACCCAGAGATGCTGATGGGCTGCCAGAGGGATTGCAGTTCCCAGATGGGGTTCTGACATCTGTCTTGTCCAAGTTTTCCCTTCTTGAACTTTTTTTTTTTTGAGGTAAGTTCTCAATCGCCCAGGCTAGAGTGCAATGGTGCAGTCATAGCTTACTGCAGCATCGACCTCCCGGGCTCAAGCAATCGTCCCGGGTAGCCTGGACTACAGGCATGCACCACTACACCTGGCTAATTTTTTTAAGTTTTTGGTGGCAATGAGGTCTCACTATGTTGCCCAGGCTGGTCTTGAACTGGGCTCAAGCGATACTCCCACCTTGGTCTACCAAAGTGCTGGGATTACAGGCCTGCGCCACCATGTTGAGCCTGGAGTGACTTTTTAAAGGAAAAGGTGCCGGCCACAGGAAAACGGGCTGAAGTATAGGGCGGGGCAAGGATTGTGGCCAGAGTCTGAGTCACACAGGACTTGTGCTCTAAGGAGGTTCTAGTCCGGCACAGCAGGCAGCCAGCAAGAGGGTGTTCAGGACAGCAGCGGTCCAGCAGTCTTGGAGAGCTGGCTGGCTACCAAATCATACTGAGAGGAGAAAGGGCGAAAGAGTGGAGACTTGGGTGATGGTGGAGATGGGGGAAAGTGGACATAGGTGTATTTTGCAGGTAGATTAGACAAGATTTAGTGATGAGTAAGATGTAGGGGTGGAGCAAAAAGGAAAAACCCTGGATGACCAGGTATGTGGCTGGGGAAATAGGTTGAAGTTTAGTAGGGAAAGCCGGGAGCTTTGTTTCAAACATGTTGGCCAGACAGGCCTTTTAGGTCTCCAAGTAGAAGTGTGAAGTCTGCAGGCAGGTTGAGTCTGGACCACTGAGCAGAGGTGTGGGCATAAGGGGCAGTCATCATAGCTGCCACAGAGGCAGGCCACTGAGGAGAGGTGTGGGCATGAGGTGCAGTCATTGCAGCTGCCACTGTGGGGCTGAGTGCCATCACCCCCAGAGTGCATAGAGAAATGATCCGGGCTGGGTACGGTGGTTTATGCCTGTAATCCCAGCACTTTGGGAGGCTGAGGTGGGTGGAGCACAAGGTCGGGAGTTCAAGACCAGCCTGGCCAACATGGTGAAACCCTGTCTCTACTAAAAAAATACAAAAATTAGTTGGGCATGGTGGTGTGTGCCTGTAATCCCAGCTACTCGGGAGGCTGGGCAGGAGAATTGCTTGAACCCAGGAGGCAGAGGGTGCAGTGAGCCGAGATTGTGCCACTGCACTCCAGTCTGGGCAACAGAGCAAGACTCCATCTCAAAAAAAAAAAAAAAAAAAAAAAATCTGGAAGGCGACGTGACACCCATCATTTGAAACAGCAAAGGAGACAGGAGGAAAATGTGGCAGAAAAACCAGGGGAGAAGGGTGTTTGTGGAAGCCAGAAGAAGAAGAAATTTCCAGAAGATTGAGGTCAGTTGGCCAATGTAGCTGAAAGATCAGGTGAAATGACAAACCTGCCTACTACCATGTTTCATTGAATGTAAGATGCCATTGAAGATAACAATCACCATTTTATGTGCTTCTGAAGAAAAAATGTAAACATTTATAATGATGTCATCAACCTTCAGACATCCTTATTTATTTATTTAGAGACTGAGTCTTGCTCTGTCACGCAGGCTTTCTCTGTCACCCAGGAGTGCAGTGGTACAATCTCAGCTCACCGCAACCTCCACCTCCCAGGTTCAAGCAATTCTCTTGCCTCAGCCCCCTGAGTAGCTTGGATTACAGGTGTGCGCCACCATGCCCAGCTAATTTTTTTTTTTTTGTATTTTTAGTAGAGACAGGGTTTCACTATGTTGGCCAGGCTGGTCTCAAACTCCTGACCTCAAGTGATCCACCCACCTCAGCCTCCCAGAGTGCTGGGATTACAGGTGTGAGCCACCATGCCCAGCCAGACATCCTAGTTTAGATGTGCACCTTTGAAATACAAGCTTTGTGGTAATGTGGGAGTTGCTGTGGCCTCATCCAGCAGTTTCAATCCCTTGGTGACAGTGGAAGCCAGGTTGGAGTGCAGGTAGAATAAACGGGAGGTGAGGAGGTAGAAATTGCACATGGAGAAAACACATGAGAAGTTTGGCTCCGAGGAGCATGTGAAATGGGACAGCCAACAAGGTATACAGGACCACAGTGAGGCTTTTCCATTGGTGTTTACTCTAGGACTGGAAAATTAGATTTTTTTTTTTATTCTTGCGATAGAATTTATTAATGGATTAATTTGAAAGATAATTATGAGTGAAAAAACAAGATGCTGAAGGATGTGATACATATATGTAAACATTTATAATATACCGATATTACATAATGTGTGTGTGTATATATGTGTGTGTGTGTTTGTATGTTAAAGATAATATATGCCAGCGAGGTGGCTTATGCCTACAATCCTAGCACTTTGGGGGGCCAATGTGGGTGGATCGCTTGAGCCCAGCCTGGGAAACATAGTGAGACCCCATCTCCACAAAAAATACAACAGTTAGCTGGGCGTGGTGGCAAAAACCTGTAATCCCAGCTGCTCTGGGAGCTGAAGCAGGAGGATCAGTTGAGCCTGGGAGATAGAGCCTGCAGTGAGCTATGATGGTGCCCCTGCACTCCAGCCTTGGTGACAGATCAAGACCCTGTCTCAGACAAACAAAAAAACCCAAGATAAAATGTGAGCTTGGGTAATCTTGTGTTTTTTTACAGGTTGATTGAGATATAGTTTACATACCACATAATTTAAAATGTACAACTTGGCCGGGTGTGGCAGCGCACACCTGTAATCCCAGCTACTCAGGAGGCTGGGGCAGGAGAATCGCTTGAACCCAGGAGGAGGAGGTTGTAGTGAGCCAAGGTCACGCCACTGCACTCCAGCCTGGGCAACAGAGCAAGACTCCATCTCAAATATAAATAAATAAATAAATAAATTTAAAAATGTACAACTCAATGGTTTTAGCACATTTGCAGTTGTGCAAATTATCACACTTTTACATTTTCATCACTCCCCTCCTTCCCAAAAAAACCCATACCCATTAGCAGTTACTCTTCTTCCTCCCCCACCAGCCCTAGGCAACCACTAATCTGCTTTCTATTGCTAAAGATTTACCTATTCTGGACATTTCATAAAAATTGAATCATATAACATGTAGTCTTTTGTGATGGGCTTCTTTCACTTAGAATAATGTTTTCGGCCGGGGGCGGTGGCTTAAGCCTGTAATCCCAGCACTTTGGGAGGCCGAGACGGGTGGATCACGAGGTCAGGAGATCGAGACCATCCTGGCTAACCCGGTGAAACCCCGTCTCTACTAAAAAATACAAAAAACTAGCCGGGCGAGGTGGCGGGCGCCTGTAGTCCCAGCTACTCGGGAGGCTGAGGCAGGAGAATGGCGTGAACCCGGGAGGCGGAGCTTGCAGTGAGCTAAGATCCGGCCACTGCACTCCAGCCTGGGCGACAGAGTGAGACTCCGTCTCAAAAAAAAAAAAAAAAAAAAGAATGTTTTCAAGGTTCATCCATGTCGTAGCATGTGTCAGTACTTTATTTCTTTGTATTGCTGACCAACATTCCATTGTATGGGTATGCTACGTTTTATTTATGCATTCATCAGTTGATGAGAATTTGGGTTGTTTCCACCTCTTCATTATTATGACTAATGCTGCTATGAACATTCCCATAAGGTATTTGACTAGACATATGTTTTCTATGCTCTTATTTGTGTATTAGGGTGGAATTATGAGATCATAGAGGTAACTCTTTTGAGAAACTGCCTATGTCCAAAGCAGCTGCACTGTTTTACATTCCCATCAGCAGTGCACGAGGAGGGTTCTTTCTCTACATCCTATATAACAAGTGGTCTCTCTTTTTTATTCTAGCCACCCACCTTAGTGGGATGCGAAGTGGTTTCCTTTTTTTTGAGACAGAGTCTTGCTTTGTCACCCAGGCTGGAGTGCAGTGGTGAGATCTCAGCTCACTGCAACCTCCGCCCCCTGGGTTCAAGTGATTCTCGTGCCTCAGCCTCCTGAATAGCTGGGATTACAGGCATGAGCCACCACACCTGGCTAATTTTGTATTTTTAGTAGAGATGGGGTTTCTCCATGTTGGTCAGGCTGGTCTCGAACTCCCGACCTCAGGTGATCTGCCCCCCCCTTGGCCTCCCAAAGTGCTGGGATTACAGGGCATGAACCACCGTACCCAGCCTGAGAAGTGGTTTCTTATTGTGGTTTTGATTTGCATTTATCTGATGGTTAATGAGATTGAGCACGTTTTCTTGTGCTTATTACATTTGGAGGAATGTATATTCAGATCTTTGCCCATTTTTAAAAATTGGGTTGTCTTTATTATTGACTTGTAAAAATTCTTTGTATATTCTAGATACATGATTTCCAAATGTATCTTCCCATTCTGTGAATTGCCTTCACTTAATTTTTTTTTTCTTTTTTTGAGACAGGGTCTCACTCTGTCACCGAGGCTGAAGTGCAGTGGCACAATCATAGCTCACTGCAGCCTTGAACCCCTGTGCTCAAGCCATCTTCCCACCTCAGCCTCCTATGTAACTAGGACTACAGGTGTGTACCACCATGCCTGGCTAATTTTAAAATTTTTCATAGAGATGGCCTCTTGCTTTGTTGCCCAGGTTGGTCTTAAACTCCTGGGCTCAAGTGATCCTCCCACCTCAGCCTCCCAAGTAGGTAGGATTACAGACATGAACCACCACACCCGGCTAATTTATTTATTTAGAGATGGGGATCTCACCAAGTTGCCAAAGCTGGTCTCAAACCCCTAGCCTCAAGTGATCCATCCTCCTGCCTCAGTCTCCCCCAGGTAGCAGGGATTCCAGGCGCATGCCACCATCCCCGGCAGCTTTAGAGTTTTCTTCATTTAGATCTACATATCTGGTTTGGTTTATTCCTGGTTTTTAATAATTGTTGCTGTGATTGCAATCTTTTCTCCTACTACATTTTCTAAGTAGTTATTGAGGATACACAGCAAAGCTATTGATTTCTGTATGTTATCTTGTATCCAGCAATCTTGCTGAACTCATTGGTTTTCAATTATTTTGCCAACTGATGATCTTGCATTTCCTAGATAAACCTGCAAATAATGAGTTTTACCAAGTTTTCCCCCAATACGTTCATCCCATTTCTTCTATCAGGCCTTGTTGCAGTGTCCCTTATAGAACATTCAATCATTGTGGTGGTAGTGAGGATTCTTTGGTTCCATTCACTTAAAAGAGAAAGTTACTAATGTTTCATCATTAAGTATGGTTTCACCATTAAGTACGATCATAAGGGTTTCTGGGAGATACCTTTAATGGAATTGAGGATGTTTCCTTCCATTTCTTGTTTGCTTCTAAGGTCTTTGTTTCTTTTTTTTTTTTTTTTTTTGAGACGGAGTCTCGCTCTGTCACCCAGGCTGGGGTGCGGTGGCCGGATCTCTGCTCACTGCAAGCTCCGCCTCCCGGGTTTACGCCATTCTCCTGGCTCAGCCTCCCGAGTAGCTGGGACTACAGGCGCTCGCCACCTCGCCCGGCTAGTTTTTTGTACTTTTTAGTAGAGACGGGGTTTCACCGTGTTAGCCAGGATGGTCTCGATCTCCTGACCTCGTGATCCGCCCGTCTCGGCCTCCCAAAGTGCTGGGATTACAGGCTTGAGCCACCGCGCCCGGCCAGGTCTTTGTTTCTTTTAACAGAAAAACAAAACAAAAAACCAAAGGGATGCTCCTTTCATCCTCAGAGGAGGAAAGAAGAAGAGGGAAGCTGGGTGGACACACCCTGGATTTCTCTTTTCCAAGCCCAGCCGACAGCCACTTTTCTAGTACCCCTAACACCCATCAAATAAAAGGTGCTATATTTTGCTCATGTTCTTTCTTTTGCCTGGAACCCATTTCTTCCCTATGCTTCTCCACCCCCAACTCCTATTTTTCCTAAGTATTAATATTTAGCCTGGAAGAGTCCCATGAGATCATCTCCAATGTCTGATGCTATCCCCCTGCATAGGGGGGTGAGGATATACTTTGAAAAAGCATATTCAATATAATGATTTGTTATTTTAAAGAAATGTTTTCCTAATATGCTATATATAAAGTAACATTCCACAAAATTATGGTTGCTGTATATTTAAGCTGCAGTAATTCTAAAAGGGTAGTCAGGGCTTTTCTCTCCCTTAAAGAGGCTGAGCTTCTTTCTCACTCAGGAACTCTATCAGTGGGCTTTCCCCTCTGCCTTGTACGTTCTCTCCCAAACCCAATCTCCTGCCTAATACCCACTCATCCTTCCAGATGCCAGCCAGCTTACCTTAAATGCTGTTTCTTCAAGAAGGCAAGCATAAGGTTCCCCTCTGTGCTGTCTCCCAGCCTCTTACACTCCTTAACAGACTACCAATTGCAATCATAGGAGCATTTTGTTTTGTGTATCCATTTTGTTTTTCAGTCTGTTTTCTCTACTAGCCGAAACTATGAGGACAAGGGATGTGCCTGTTTTATTTACCACTACAGTGCTTGGCACATTAAGGATCTTCAGTTGCCAAAATGGAGCACATGTTAGAGAAGTCAGCACTGCTCTCATAATCTAAAATCCCCCAGTTGGCAAATGGGGCAAGTGGGGCCCAGAGGTGAGAAGAGATTTCCTCAAGGTCTCGAAACCAGTCTGAACCTGAGCCGGACTGCCTGGCTCTAAACTCCAGTTCTTTGCTCTCAGGTTCGCCTTCAGGGCTCGCCCAATCTAAGTACCCTGAGAAGTCTTTCCTTACCCCATGCCTCTGTCCACCCTCAGTCATTTCCCCGCGTCGTCCTCGTCCCATCAGTCCCATCTGCCGCAGTTGCCCACTCTGCTTCCCAGGGAACGGGTGACGGCTCGGGGAGACAGAAGCACCCGGGCGCGAGGTGCGAGGCCCGGGTCTGCGGGCGGCTGGGCCAAGCCCCCTAGCCTCCGCGGTGCTGATTGGACGGCCTGGCGTGGGGGGGACGGGCGGAGGGGCGGCCACCCGCGCGTCCGCTTATTCTCCGCGGGGGCGCGCCCGCGGCACGCGGCCGGGCGGGGCCGGGCCTGAGTGACGGCCACGTGAACCAATGGGACGGGCGCGCGCCGCCGCCGCCGCCCGCGCGGCCCCTGACGCGGGCCCGGGCGCCGCGCCGCTGCGGCTGCGGGCGGCGACGGCTGCACCATGGGCCGGCTACTGCGGGCCGCCCGGCTGCCGCCGCTGCTGCCGCTGCTGCTGCTGCTGCTGCTGGCTGGAGGTGAGTGCGCTCCGGGCCCGGGCCCGGGCGCGGGCGGGCGGGCGGCGGCGCGGGCGCGGTGCTGGACAGCTCCCCGGGCCGCCAACAAAGGGACCAGCGTGCGGCGAGGCCGGGAGCGAGCGTGTCCCGGCCGGGCCGCGGCGCCGCCCCGACACGCGCGCACGCGGAGTGGGTGCGTGGGGGGCCGCGGCGGGCGCCTGGCGTGCGGGGCGACCCCTTGACCGAGGCGCGGCGGTGAAGCTGGGACACAGCACGGTGGTCCCCACGCCGTGGCTCGCAGGGGCAGGTGCGCAGGCTACTGCCTCGCAGGCCGGGGGGGGCGCGCACGTGTGGGTGTGCATGTGTGTGCGTGTGCATGTGTGTGTGCGAGTGTGTATTGTGTGCCTGCGCACTCGGGGGAGGGGGCGTGTGTGACAGCTACGCGGGGAGGAGGCTGCATTGTGAAGGTCCCAGGGGCTGCCGGCGGAGTGTGGGGCGGTTCGCTGAGGCGCGGGTGGCTGTTTACGTGTGGCGTTGCCGGGAGGGAGTGTGTGAGTGTGTCACGGTGAATGGATATTCTCCACTGTTCTGGGCGACTCGATTAGGAGCTGACAAAAACGGGCGTACAGCCACGGAAGGCCCGTGACAGCACACGGCGGGAGGCTCCCACGCAGCTCACACACGAGGGAGGTGTGAGACTCGGATGTGTGGTTTCCATTCAGCAGCGACGCCGGGCGGCGGGCCGTGTGGGTGCGTGGCGGGCTGGGGGTGTGGCACAGGTGTGAAAGGGATCTGTCTGCCTGAGAGAGAAAGAGACGGGCCTCCTGATGGCTTCCAGCGCAGACGGGGATTTAGTGGAGGGGGTGTGTAGGGAGGTGGGCATGCGGTGTGACAGCCCATGAGGCAGGCGGCCACTATGGAAATGGCGGGGAGAAGGGCTGTCTGCAAAGGTGGGTCAAATAAGGTCATAGCTGAGCAGCTCCTGCACACAGTGGCGCAGCAGAGGGAGTGTGTTACGGTGTATGTTAAGGTGTGACTGGTGCTGCTGGAGGAGTACCCGGATGAGCAAGTGTGCATGTGTGCCTGTACACACTCCGGATGAGCAAGTGTGCATGTGTGCCCGTACACACTCAGCCAGCTGTGAGTAACTTCACTTCTAATGCACACATCAGAATAGCGCCTTAGTATGATGTGTGTATGTGCATGTAGGAGTGTGCACAGGACATTTCCCACACAGCCGGCCCATGAAGACACAGGCACTTTATGTCCAGATGTGTGTGAGTGAAAGAGAAACTACTGAAGGGTCTCTATGGGAAGGGAGGAACAGTCTTTGCTTGAGATGGGCCATGACCCTGGGGCTCCGAGTGGCAGAATTCCAGGGTAAATGGCTGGGAGAGGAAAGCAGTCCCTCACACATTCCTGTGCATGTCATGGGAAGGCTCAGTTCAGGGAGGGTACACTTTCTCCACGGTCAGTCTAGGGATGAAGAAAGGCCCTAGGTGGTGTGCACAGAAAAACATGTCCATCAGTGTTGGCTCAGACACACACAAACCCACCCGTTCCTTCACACCTTAAATCCTCTTTGGAAGAAGGCGATACTCAACAAACAAACATCAATCGATTGATCTGCTACTTCTTTGTGTGACAGTTGTAAACCAGAACTGGCGAGCAACATCCGTAAGGACCCAGGCCCAGCTGTAACTGCCCATGTGCTTATGTGACCAGCAGTGAGGACTGTGGGCAGCCTGCCTCCCTGCTTCTCTCTCCCATGCATGCTCTTCATGACGCACTTCTTAGCCCATGCTTGGAGGCCATGTGTGTGTGACTAGCAGTGTGTCTCTTTCTTACACACCTTTGTGTGGAAGCTCTTCGGAGACCTGTCAGCGTTGTTTCTCTGGTGCTTACGGAGTGGAGGTAGCGTAACTGTGCTCGGCAGTTCCTGTTGTCACTGACACTCAAGGGTAAGGGGCTGTGTGACAGATGCTGCATGGCCCCTCCCATGTTGGTGTCTGCCAAGAGCTTAGGGAGACTGGACTTCAAAGCCCCTGCTTAGGGGAAAGATGGGGTGTAGCTAATGGTGAAAATCAGAAAGGAGGTTTGCACCAGGAGCAGATTGCAGGGACTGATTTGGAAAGGTACAATAAAACATGAGGATGGCTGGGGTCTTGTTTTTTTCACCTCTCCAAATGTCAGCCTGCTTCCTTTCCCTCTTTCTGTGTTTGTTTGGGTCGGATTTTCAGTTCTTTGAGGCTGATCCCCTAATCCTTTTCATGTGCCGTCTTTTTCTCTCTCCTCTGTTGGGTGTGATGATGTAACAGAAAATTATAGGTGCTGAGGGAAAAAGGAAATCAATCACACGCAGAGTGTAATTCTGAAATTTTAAGTCAGGTGGGGTCTCAATTAAGGTAGATTAATTATTAAGTGCAAAACTAATTATACACAGAATGGCTAGGTCTCAGCTACTATTTTGGTGTCATCTTATGGTGGGCAAATTTGAAAAGAAGTAACCTCTTGTAATTACTTAAATAATTACCCATTGCCAAGGCCTTTGAAAATATCAAGGTCTATATAAAGACAAAACAGTTATTAGAGGGAAAAATAACTTTAAGAAAATGAAACTTTTTACTGGAAAAGGAATGAAAAACCAGAAAATACCAGATTCCTTTTTCTTCAGTAGGGTTTTCAAAATCTTTGCCAATTCCTATCAGACCATTGGTAAGGGAAGACAAAGAAGGAAAGGGAGAGATGTTAGAGGAAGGTTGTGGTTCCTGGCTTGACAGCTGAGAGAGCCTAGAGAGGTGGGGGCTCACTGGAGCCATGGAAATGACAGGGAAGAGGCCTGGCAAACACACCAGACCACAGTCCTGTGCACAGAGAGCTGGACTGACTAGAAAGTTTTATCCCCTAGAGTGGGGAAGGAAACAGGCTCCTCTGGGCACACTGACCTGGAGAGGGCAGAGCAGTCTTCTTGAGTTCCAAGCCACTCCGAGGAGCCAGGGTAGGGTGTAGACGGCAGCAGCCTCCCCCTGCCATGCCACAGCCTCTCCCTGCCATGCCACAGTTCAGCTCTGAGAGAGAGTGCCAAGGTTTGAGAGACAACCCGTGTTTAATCCTTCAGTGTTTGTAGAGAGTGAATTTCAAAATTCTTAGGGAGAATCAGTTTACCCTTTTCTAACAAGGCTGAAGTAATATCTTTCCCAGCATACCTGCTGGAGGTTGGAGCATGCAGATAAAGATCTCCAGTTCATGGCCCTCTCAAAGGCAGGCTGCCCGGATGCCCTGGGAACCTATACAGTGCGTATTATTTAATTGTTATAAACGTTTTCCATCAGTTGGCTTTTTTCTTCCTGGAATGCATAAATGAGTTTTTCCAGATCTGTTTCTTGTATTTTGGCTCCCTGCCAGCCCTGGGGATACTGCTTTTGCAAAGCAGTCTGTTGCATCGGCTGACATCCCCTAAATAACTTAGGATTTCACTTCCCAAGAGTTGGTAATTTTCCTGAGGGCAAAGCCTGTCTCTTGTTCATCTGTCTCTTGTTGCACCCCCAGGAAGGGCCTAACACACTGTTTGGCACAGAATAGGAGCTCAGGAGTGACTATATTTTTCTTTGTAATCGACAGTCTAATAGAAATTTTACCTCTAATAAGAGCACAGCCCACCTGAAACCAAAGTTCAATTGTAATTGGTATCACATCTGATTGGCAGTATTACATGATTCTGATTCACTTTTCAAAAATTAGAAAATAACTATTAAATAAGTACAGTTTATAGATGAAAAATTTCCAAACACAGGAGCCACATGGAAATGTAAATAAAGAGATTCTTGCTGGTGAAAACATTGGGAGTCACTTTACTAATTTGGTCTTTTTCAAGAGAAGAGGTTCCTTCAATTGATTGGATTGGTTGTGGGGACCCTGGGCAGTGTTTGGAAAGGGGTATCTTCTAGTTTTCAGCTCTGGCTTCTTTCCCTGGCCCTTAAAGCGCATGAAATATTTAAGCTGTCGTACATATTATCTTCTTTCTTGTATCCTTTGGAGGAAGGAAAGTACCCAGCCCTACAAGTAATAGCTTTCCATTCTTCCTTCTGGAGCATCCGCAAGACCTTTTTGTGGGGGAGAAACCAGCTAATTTCAGCTCCTCTATTAACTAGCTGTTTGACCTTAATCCCACAAGGCCTCAGTTATTTCATTTGTAAAACAAGAAAGTTGGACTAGACTACTAATTATTTATTCATACCTTTATTGAGTCCCCAGTGTGTGTAAAAGGTTGTGCTAGGCACTGGAATTCCAGAGTGGAATTGACACAAGGGACTTCTCATTTACAGTGGAGGCACTGTGAAGGTCGTTACAATTTGGTGAGAAAAGTGGAGTGAGAGTAGTTTGTTGAGAAGGCTGTGATAGAGAGGAGTGGTGCCTCATCCAGACTTGGAGTGGCCACAAAAAGCTTCTTGGAAGCTGAGACTGGAGGCAGGAGTGAGAATTAGCAGGTGGGTGGTGGGACAGAACAGAGATAGGGAGATATGGATGTTCAAGCAGAAGAGCATGTGCAAAGACCCAAAGGCAAAAGAGACGGCTGTGTTCTGGAAATTGCAGGTAGTCAGTTTGTCTGAAGCATAGAGTATGATTGGGGAAGGTGGGGACAGAGAGGGGAGAGGAGGTAATGGTCAGTTTATGAGAGCCTTCTCTGCCTTTTCAAAGGATCTGACCTGTATGATAGAATGATAGAACCAGATTTGCATTTTAAAAAGACCTCTTGGCCGGGTGTGGTGGCTCACGCCTATAATCCCAGCATTCTGGGAGGCCAAGGTGGGCGGATTACTTGACGTCAGGAGTTTGAGACCAGCCTGACCAACATGGTGACACCCCGTCTCTACTAAAAATACAAAATTAGCCAGGCGTGGTGGCACATGCCTGTAATCCCAGCTACTCCGGAGGCTGAGACAGGAGAATCGTTTGAACTCGGGAGGTGAAGGTTGCAGTGAGCTGAGATGGCGCCATTGCACTCCAGCCTGGGCAACAAGAGAGAAACTCCATCTCCAAAAAAAAAAAAAAAAAAAGTTGACCAGGCGCAGTGACTCACACCTGTAATCCCAGCACTTTGGGAGGCCGAGGTGGACAGATCACCTGAGGTCAGGAGTTCGAGACCAGCCTGGCCAACATGGTGAAACTAAGTCTCTACTAAAAATACACACAAAAAAATAAGCTGGGTGTGGTGGCAGGCGCCTATAATCCCAGCTACTCAGAAGGCTGAGGCAGGAGAATCACTTGAACCCGAGAGGCGGAGGTTGCAGTGAGCCAAGAATGCGCCATTGAGCTCCAGCCTGGGCAACAAGAGTGAAACTCAAAAATAAATAAAAATGAAAAAATAAAATCAATAAAAAGACCTCTCTGAGCGTTGTCACTCAAAGTGTGATCCAGGGACCAGCAGTATCACTCACACCTACTGTGTCAGCAGACTCGGGTGACTAACACACATTTCAGTCTGAGCAGTGCTGATTAGAGGGCAGTGTGCGGGACAGATGGGTGCAGGGGGAAATGCTAGGGGTTTGTAAAAGAGCTCTCTTTTTCTTCCAGCGGTGAAGCACTATGAGGACTGTAATTCTAATGGAGGCGTCTCTCATGTCTACACACTTATGTTTCTATATCTTCCCTGCTATTTTCTTTATCGTGAAGTGTGGGGCATTTCAGCCATGTGCCCCCCTGAGTGGCATGGTTGTCTACCCTAGAGAATGGGAAACTGAACACATGTTCCTGAGCTCCCGGTGCTGTTATTTCCTCCAGCCTCCTTTCTCCTTCACAGTGTACTGAGCACAGTCAGTACAGTGCCATGAGCAGCTCTGTTAGTAGCTAACTTTGAGATCTCTCTCCCTGCCCTACTAACCCTGTGGCTCAAACAGAGTTATATGGTCACTGGTACACTATTGCTTGTTTTCTTGCTGGTCTCTGTAGTAGAAACTGACCCTTCTGGGGGCAGGGACTATATCTTTCTTATTTCTGTAGCAACATAGCCTTGGATCATGCCTAGTCCAAAAAAGCATTTAATAAAGGCTTTTCGGTTGAAGAATGGATGAATGAATGAATGGAATTTAACCATTTAAACACTACTCTGATCCAAAAGGAGAACTCGATTTATAATTTTTCTTAATGTATCAGTTGGCTATTTCTGTGTAATAAATCACCCCAAAATTTAGTGGTTTCAGATTCTCAATTCTCGAGATCTGATCCCTGGACCAGAAGCATCACCTGGGAACTTGCTAGAAATGCAAATTGTTGGGCCCCATCACAGACCAACTGGATTCAGAACTCTAGGGTGGGCTTAACAGTCTCTGTTTTAACAAGCCCTCATGGTGATTCCATGCTGGTTCGTTTGAAAGCTTTGGATTTAAACAGTAGCCATTTATTTAGCTCATGATTCTGTAGTTTGGCAATTTAGGCTGCAATCAGCTGGGTGGTTCTGGTCTCAGCTGAACTCCTTCAAGTTTGTCATCAACTGTTTATCACCTTTGCCGGTCTTGTCTGGCTCTCTCACTTTGGGACTTCAGCTAGGACACTGAGCTGACCTGGCTGTCTTCTGCATGGGCTCCCGTTTTCCTGAAGGATAGCCTTGAGCAAAATCCTGAGAGAATGGAAGCATTCAAGGTATCTTGAGGCCTAGCCTTGGAAATGGCACATCATCTTTTCTCCTGCGTTGTCTTGTGTAGTAACTCACAAAGGTAGCTCAGATTCAAGGAGTGGAGAATTAGATTTCATCTCTTGATGGGAGGAGCTACAAAGTCTCATTGCAAAGATGTGTGTTATTGTAGGTTATTAATTGGGACATCATTGGATAACCCCTCTCAGGAAGAACCTTAAGAAGGTTCTGTTTTGTGGTAGGACTTGGCACACTGTCTCTTTCCCATCTATCTAGTAGGGGATAGATACTGCTTTCTTCTGTAATATTTGGGCTAGGAAAAAATCCAAGAGTAGCTTAGGGTCCCCCTATGATGGAAAGAGGAAATTAGAGTGGAAGAGGTCATGGGAAAGTCTGGGCTAGAGGGAATCCAATATTCTTAATTCATCCTCTCCCAGGAACAAAGGGGAACTTCAAGGGGAGTGGACCCAAAATTGATTGTCTTGGCTTTCTCTGGCTTTTAAATGCCTTTGGCTCAAAGAAACCACAAAATATGAGATGGTTGTTTCTCTGTTTGAGTCAGGGATTCAGACACAGGCTCCGGGAACATGGCTTCAGCTTCATGGAGCCAGGGCCTACCTGGAAGCAGAATCTTTGACCATGGACGTGGTGCCGAGGCGAACAGAAGACATTCTGGATGGGGTGTGATGGCTTCTTGGTTTGGACTTGGCAGAAGGCATTCTCCTGTGAGCAGTCCTCAGGAGCATTGGCAACACAGCAGTGCCTCCCACCTACCCAGGGTCACAGCATGCCCGCCCTTTAGTTATTTTTTTATTTTTATTTTTTTGACAGAGTCTTGCTCTGTCGCCCAGGCTGGAGTGCAATGGCACCATCTTGGTTCACTGCAACCTGTGCCTTCGGGATTCAAGCGATTCTCCTGCCTTAGCCTCCTGAGTAGCTGGAGACTATATGCGTGTGCCACTACGCCCAGCTAGTTTTTGTGTTTTAGAAGAGATGGGTTTTGCCATATTGGCCAGGCTTGTCTCAACCTCCTGACCTCAAGTGATCCTCCCGCCTCGGCCTCCCAAACTGCTGGGATTTATAGGTGTGAGCCACTGCACCCAGCCCCACCCTCTAGTTATGATGGTACTTTCTAAAGCTCAGAGTTGGACGTGTGAATTATTTTATTGAGAGACAGAGCTTTACGGGATCTTAAAGGTTGGCACAGATGTTACTAGCCCTGGTCAGATGCTAAGGCTCTGATGCCTCCTTAGCCCCAGCGTTGGCTTTGAGGCCACATAGAATCACTCTGATCTTCTTATTCACATCAACCTTTTAATGTATTTGAAGATACCATGGTGTCTTTTAAAATTTTTTTTCCCCAGGCCATGAACTTCACAGGTCTCTGTTTTTTATAAAGGATAATAACACAATATTTGTAGAATACTTTGGTTTGTGAAGCTCTTTGTAGAGCAGCTTTCACACATGGCTCAGGAATTACCTCATTTGGTGCCCCTCACACTGGAGGCATGGTAGGAAGTGCTGTCCTTATTACACAGAAGAGTAGAGCAAGGCTGGTGGTGATGAAGTTGCTCAGCCAGAGAAGCCAGAGTGTAACCTATTTCCTGGTACCAGCCTTTCTCTCCTGTTATAGAACATCTTCCTGTCTCTGACCCCAAGGCCTGACTATCTTCCCCTGGAGTCTCTACTCCCTGTCCGCCATCCACACAACCCAGAATACACCCCTATGACTGGATGTTGCATTCTTGGCTGTGAGTTGTCTGGCTGGTGCACGGTGTGCACAGACTCCCTCATACCCAGACTCACAGGACAGTCTGAAACGCTCATTTTTTTTCAGTGGCCAGTCACAGTATTGGCACATATCAAGCTTAGGGCCTGCTCAGCAAAGCACATGGCACCAATAATATTAGCTCTATTTTTATTGTAAACATCACTAAAAATTGCCATGCACTACAGTCAAGTCAGGTCACAGTAGGCATCTGGTGTAGAGCAAGAGGAAGACTGTGAAATTCCCTGTTCCCTAGATCCTTAAATGTTAGTCTTAGAAAATAATTCAGAGGTCATTTCATTTAGCTTCCTTGCCTTTCTAGTGAGGAGACTGAGACCCAGAGGTCTTGAGCAGCTTTCCAGGAGCCTCACAGCAAGTTAGTAATTTGTGTGGTTAGGTCATTAAGTTAGAGGTTAAGTTGTGAAACTGGCAAATAGGGCTATATTCCTGTCCTTAAAGAATGAGAGTGAAAGAAGAGGAAGAAGGCCTCCTTTAATTTGTTTTCCTGTCCATTTATTTGCTTGTTTTGGTAAATTAGGAGAGAGAGAACCCAAGATTCTAAACAAATACATCAAATTACCAGCACTGGGTTGGGTTTGAACTGTGTGACCTCACGTGGTTTTTTAAAAGACTACGTTTAGAGGCTGGGCTCAGTGGCGCATGCCTGTAATGCCAGCACTTTGGGAGGCTGAGGAGGGCAGATCACTTGAGGTCAGGAGTTCAAAACCAGCCTGACCAACATGGCGAAACCCTGTCTGTACTAAAAATACAAAAATTAGCTGGGCATGGTGGTGGGCACCTGTAATCCCAGCTGCTCGGGGGGCTGAGGCAAGAGAATCACTTGAACCTGGGAGGCGGAGATTGCAGTGAGCTGAGATTGTACCACTGTACTCCAGCCTGGGCAACAGAGCAAGAGTCCATCTCAAAAAAAATCATAAATAAAAAAACTAAAGACTATATTCAGGATACTGTATTGCTGAAATACAAATCATATTCTTAATTCAGTTTTGGAGAAATTTCAGCCAAGGATGGAAGCCTGGGGAACACCATGTTCATCCAATCATACAGCTAGGTCCTTAAAAGCATGGGCCCTGTCTTCACTTCTGTTTATAGCCCCAAACATGCAGCACAATTGCCAGCAGAGAGGGGGTACTCAGGAGGCGCTTTCTGAGTGAGAACATGCGCAGTGGAACGCTGACTCAGTGATTCCTCTCTCTCCCCTGCCTGTCTCCATCTGTCTCCCCTTGCCCCTGCCATAGGGAAGTCTCAGCGATTTGGCCTTTTTGAAATGAAAACAGCGTCTCGGAATTCCCGCAAAGCCTCTGGGTGTTCGGGAGTGTCCACTGAAGTCCCCCCCTCCCCAGGACCTTTGTCATTTGAGACATGCTCTAACCTGGCACCAGTCTTTGTCTTCTCTTGCCTCCCCTGACTGTCTGGCTTTTATGTCTGCACAGGAGCGTTCCTGGGTGCCTGTGCTGCTGGGTCTGATGAGCCTGGCCCAGAGGGCCTCACCTCCACCTCCCTGCTAGACCTCCTGCTGCCCACTGGCTTGGAGCCACTGGACTCAGAGGAGCCTAGTGAGACTATGGGCCTGGGAGCTGGGCTGGGAGCCCCTGGCTCAGGCTTCCCCAGCGAAGAGAGTGAAGAGTCTCGGATTCTGCAGCCACCACAGTACTTCTGGGAAGAGGAGGAAGAGCTGAATGACTCAAGTCTGGACCTGGGACCCACTGCAGGTAGCTCTTCTTACCGACAGAGCATGTGTTGAGTGCCAGCCAAGTGTCTAGGCAAAACACCAGGTGACCATTTCCTTGCCAGAACCATCTCTTCTCTCTCCCTACAGTTTTTACCATGCTGCTGCTGTTTACCTGCACATCAGAGCTAAGGCTCTGGGACCCTGAGTGTCTCACAGGCCCAGGCGGCCCTTTCTCTTTAATATTAACCACTGTTTAGGGAGCCTTTATTCTGTGCTCATTTAATTCAATCCGATGCTTATAACCTGAGAGATAAGTAATATGACCCCCCCTTGTAGACAAGAAAACACTGAGACTGAGAGGTTAAAAGCTGGCCTGAGGTCAAACAGCGGCTCAGATGCTCAGTCATGATTCAGACCTATGGCTTTCCAAGCCCTGGGGCTCATTGTTTTGTTTTTCCCTACTGCTCTATGCTGTCTCTGTTGAAGATTGCCACGAGGTCAGCTGATCCGTGTTTCCTTGAGTCTATCCGACCAGCAGTTGAGGCATTCTAACTGCCCTTCCCTCAGTCATGCACCAGAGCTGGTGTTTGGGTTTACAGAGCCCAGCTGGTGAACATTTGTGTCCTGAAGTAAGCCTGAGGCCTAGGGCTCCGGGCTGAATGCCCACCGCCATAAGCTGACGCTGATGCAGATGTGCAGGAGCTTGCAGGCAGCGCTGCCAGCCATAGCCGCTCCACCAATGTCCTGGGCCAGCAGGGGCCCATCTCTCAGCAGGGACTGAGGAATTGGTGTGATTGTGTGTGCACATGGGGCAAGGTGTTACAGAACTTAACCTTAATGTTTCTTTTTAAATCAGATAATATTTATTGGATATACTTTTTCTAATTATGAAAGAACACATGAACATTGTAGAAAATCTAAAACGCACAAAAATAATACAAAGAAGAAAATAAGGCTGGGTGTGGTGGCTCTCATCTGTAATCCCAGCACTTTGGGAGACTGAGGTGGGTGGATCACTTGGGGTCAGGAGTTTGAGATGAGCCTGGCCAACATGGTGAAATCCCATCTCTACTAAAAATACAAAAATTAGCTGGGCATGGTGGCAGACACCTGTAATCCCATCTACTCAGGAGGCAGAGGCAGGAGAATTGCTTGAACCCGGGAGGTGGAGGTTGCAGTGAGCTGAGATCGCACCACTGCACTCCAGCCTGGGCGACAAGAACAAAAATCTGTCTCAAAAAAAAAAGAAGAAAATAAAAACCACCCATAACCTGATAATTAAAAGATAATTACCATTAGTAGTTTGGGGATACATCGTTCACTTTTATATTCAAAATAGGATTTGCAAGAACATTTTGTTTTCACTCAATATATTTCATAAGTATATATCTGCATTGTTAAATATCCATTTGTAACCTGATTTTTAAACATGTTATTATTTATTTATTTTACTTTTTTTGAGATGGAGTCTCGCTCTGTCACCCAGGCTGGAATGCAGTGGCATGACCTTGGCTCACTGCAACCTTCATCTCCCGAGTTCAAGTGATTCTCCTGCCTCAGCCTCCTGAGTAGCTGGGATTACAGGCATACACCACCACACCCAGCTAATTTTTGTATTTTTAATAAAGACAGGGTTTCACCATGTTGGCCAGACTGGTCTCTAACTCCTGACCTCAAGTGATCTGCCCGCCTCAGCCTCCCAAAGTGCTGGGATTACAGGTGCGAGCCACCTCTCCCGGCCAACATGTTATTATTTATTTATTTATGTTTAGAGTTGAGGTTTTGCTCCATTGTTCAGGTGCGATCATAGCTCACTGTAACCTCGAACTCCTGGGCTCAAGCGATCCTCCCACCTCAGCCTCATAGGTAGCAGGGACCAAAAACGTGCCACCACGCCTGACTAATTTTTTCATTTTTTTGTAGTGATGGGGTCTTGCTATGTTGCCCAGGCTGGTCTTGAACTCCTGGGCTCAAGTGATCCTCCTCCCTTGGCCTCCCAAAGTGCTCAGATTATAGCTGTGGGCCACTTTGCCCAGCTTGTAACCTGATTTTTTTTTTTTTTTTTCTTGAGACAGAGTTTTGCTCTTGTTGCCCAGGCTGGAGTGCAATGGCGCCATCTTGGCTCACTGCAAACTCTGCCTCCCGAATTCAAGTGATTCTCCTGTCTCAGCCTCCTGAGTAGCTGAGATTATAGGCATGTGCCACCATGCCTGAATAATTTTGTATTTTTTTTAGTAGAGACAGGGTTTCTCCGTGTTGGTCAGTCTAATCTCGAACTCCCGACCTCAGGTGATTTGCCCGCCTCAGCCTCCCAAACTGCTGGGATTACAGGCGTGAGCCACTGTGCCCAGCCCTGATTTTTAACAACTACATAATATTTCATCATGTGGGTCATCAAATTTATTAAACTGGTTCCCTACTGTTGAATACTTAGGTTGTCTTCAGTTTTAATGCTGCGACAAATATCCTTATACATTTTCACAACTTCCTGGTTGTTTCCTTAGGATTAATTTCTGGAATAAAATTGGTAAGTCAAAATATGTATCAGGGCTGGGCATGGTGGCTCACGCCTGTAATCCCAGCACTTTGGGAGTTTGAGGTGGGCAGATCATGAGGTCCGGAGTTTGAGACCAGCCTGGCCAACATGGTGTAACCCCGTCTCTACTAAAAATACAAAAATTAGCCAGGTGTGGTGGTGGACGCCTGTAATCCTAGCTACTTAGGAGGCTGAGGCAGGAGGATTGCTTGAACCTGGGAGGCGGAGGTTGCAGTGAGCTGAGATTGCACCACTGCACTCCAGCCTGCGGGACAGAGCAAGACTCCATCTCAGAAAAAAAAAAAAAAAGATGTATCAGTCAGCATCCCACACAGAAACAGAAGACACAATCAAATTAAGACAATCTAAGGAGAATTTGTTTATAAAGCAGCAGATTTATGAAGGTATGGGCTGGATACGGGTGAACCACCAAAGGATCTGTGGCTAGCAGCAGCTGAGTGCTTACCATCTCTAGGCACAGGGAGACCAGGGAAGGGATGAAGATGGGAGCCTGCAGGGAAAGTGGTGTAAAGAGGTGGCCAGATACTGGAGGAGACCGAGAGAATGAACACCACATCCCCCACCAAATGTTCTGTCTTTCCCTTGTCAATTTGATAGGAAAAATTATAATGGCCTTTGATTCTAGTAAATTTTAACTCATATATGTACAAAATATATATGTACATTCATTATATATAGAAAAAAAATAGCAACCACTTATCACTCTTCTTTTTTATTTGAAGCACAGTGTAGTTAAGAGAACAGGCCTTGGAGTCAGGAAGGCTCCAGCGCTGTCATTTAACAGTGACACAATTTTTTGTGAGTAACTTACCCTAAGCCTCAGTTTCCCATCTAGGAATTGGAGATAATCATATACCCACCTCACAGGGTTGTGGGGTTCACACACCATCATATATTTCGAGCACTTAACTCAGTGCTTGGCACATTGTTAAGTGCTCTGTGAGTATTAGCTATTATTATTACTTTTCTATTTTTTTCTATTGAGTCTTTAATTTTTTCTTATCCCTGTACAAATCTGAAAAAGGGTACTAACTTTCCTCTGACATACATAGAAAACATTTTTCCAGTTTGTCAACTGCTTTTATTTTGATTATAATTTTTGGCGTAAAGAAATTAAATATTTTATGAGCTTAAAATTACTTTTTTTTTTCTTTGAGATGGAGTTTCACTCTAGTCACCCAAGCTGGAGTGCAATGGTGTGATCTTAGCTCACTGCAACCTCTGCCTCCCAAATTCAAGCAATTCTCCTACCTCAGCTTCCCAAGTAGCTGGGATTATAGGCACATGCCACCACACCCAGCAAATTTTGTATTTTTAGTAGAGATGGGGTTTCACCATGTTGGCCAGCTGGTTTCAAACTCCCGACCTCAAGTAATCCACCCACCTCAGCCTCCCAAAGTGTTGGAATTACAGTTGTGAGCCACTGCACCCAGCAAAATTACTTCTTTTAAAATGTTTTTATGTGTTTTTCTTTACTTTATGATTAGAAAATACTTTCTGCCCTTGAGATACATGCACCTTTCTTCCTTCTATTCTTTTTTTAATGTAAATTCTTTTTTAAAAATTGTTTTTATTTTTTGGACACAGGGTCTCGCTCTTACCTCAGGCTGGAGTGCAGCAGCACAATCTTAGCTCACTGCAGCCTTGACCTCCTGAGCTCAATCGATCCTCCTGCTTCAGCCTCCCAAGTAGTTGGGACTACTGGTGTACCCCACCATGCCTGGTTAATTTTTCTGTTTTTTGGTAGAGATGGGGTTTTGCCATGTTGCCCAGGCTGGTCTTGAACGCCTGGGCTCAAGCGATCCACCTGCCTCAGGCTCCCAAAGTGCTGGGATTACAGGTGTGAGCTACCACGCCTGGCCCCTTCTATTCTTTAGCTTAATTTTTTACATTTAAGTCCAATCTAGCTATAATTTATTTTTGTGTATGGTGTAAGATAAGGATCTAATTTATTTTCTCCACACAGATCATCTGTTGTCATGGCAGCATCCATTGATAAATCTGTCCTCTTATCATTTTAAATAAATGGTATTTTGTTGCTGTTGTTGTTTTCAGACAGAGTCTCACTCTTGCCCAGGCTGGAATGCAGTGGTGTGATCTCTGCTTACTGCAATCTCTGCCTCTGAGGTTCAAGTGATCCTCCTGCCTCAGACTCCCTGGTAACTGGGATTACAGGCGTGCCACCACACCCAGCTAATTTTTGTAATTTTAGTAGAGATGGGTTTTACCGTGTTGCCCAGGCTGACCGAACTCCTGACCTCAAGTGATCCACCCACCTCAGCCTCCCAAGGTATTGTGATTACAGGTGTGAGCCACTGTGCTTGGCCAAGAAATGATTTAAAAGAAACTTTTACATTGTACCAGACAATTCTTGGGTCTTTGTCTGGCCTTTTCCTTTTGTTGAGACTGTTGAGCGTCAAGTGTGGGGTAAGCAGTCACACAGAGAGCCTTGGCCTCAGGACCACAGTGAAGAGCCCTGAAGC